TAGTATTGGCGCTGATCGCTATTGACTGTTTTTATTCACTTTCTTGATGGAAACCACCCATAGTTCTCAGAAACCCCTCCCATGAAAAATGGCCGGCTACGCCACTGACAGCAACATATTTTTGTCTTTCTAATCTTAACCATCTTCATTTTAATGAGTTGAATTTTTGTTTTTGAAAACAGCAACTCAAATAGTCTCCTCTGGAATTATTTTAATAGTAGCGGAGGTAGGTGAGGTCATATGTTACAAACCTAAGAAAGAAGTATGATATTAAGTTCACTCGGTAGCCGGGGAAACATTGATTATTGAATTTTGTATGATCTTAGTTTGAAGTTGAAATATTAAATTAATTAAATCTTTTGAAAACCAATATAATTTTATTGGTACAGAAGTATTTAAATCAGTTGTTTCAGAGCAACCTTCCCTCAGAGTTGAAGATTGCTTTAATCGGATGCTTAAGTGTATAGATTTTAAAGGGGAATATTTTGAGAAGCAATCAAATGATTTAACTAACGTAATTGGTTTTGTTTTACATTTAGCACGTAATTTAGACAATATAAGGTTAATTTCACGAACTTGTACTTTTTTTCCCCCTGAAGAAAAAATATGGCGTCGCTTGTGGCTCTAAATGTTTAAATAATCATCACTAATATTTTAATATAGATAGATAATACACACCTTTGTTTGTAATGGGTACCAAAGTTGATGCATTTTAATAAATAGTAGATAGTCCGTAGATAACTCTGGATGCAAATTAACAGATTACTCCTGAAAATACATTATTAATATCGAGACGACGAATTTACTCGTTTCGTTTAGATGACGTCAATGCCTGTCACTTCCAATGAAATTGTCGATTTGATCTCCAATATTCATTTTTAGGACTAGCTGTGTCGCACCACGTGACAATTTCATAATTTCTCTGAAGACAAAATGCACGTTGGCTTAAAATAATAAAGACGAAATTTATGTCCCGACAATTTGAAGCAAATCTGATCCGCTTAAAATTTTGGCCGTTTTCTGTTTCTGTATGATTTAAAATTGAGTCGTAGTTTAAATTATTTAATGTATTTTATGTTCTACAATTAACATCCAAATTGTGCTTTTCTGCTTTCATATTCACTTCTCGAAATATATGAAACTACGGAACAGAGAAATTATCTCTTCTAGGAAAACAAGTTGGAATTTAATTAAAATAAAATATAATTTATAATGAATTTCGTGCAATAAATATGGAATTTGAATTCAGAATACAAAAAAAGTTTGTTAATTAATTCATTTCTGGCTGATAATTTAAAATTTAATGTTTAATGTAATATTCCCTTACTGATATGGAAGAAAAAAATAATTTCTAGTCCAAAATTATTTCAATAAAATTTTATAAACCGTACAGTCCACTAACTTTTCTATGTCACGGAAAATAATTTTTTCCAGTTTTGACATATAAAGTGACATTTTTTGTAATCGCAGCAAGGAACTATTTTACGGAACCAGTTGCATAATGTTAAACATTAAATAAATATTAAATAAAAAACAATTTAAATAATATTTTCATTTAGAATTTAAGAAATAAAAACATTTAATATCTAAAAAGTAAAAATTAAGTAAAAAAACATATTAATTTAATATTTAAAGTCAAGTTTTGGTACGTTATAGTGCAACAAAATTAAACTTTCTGCTATTTTTAATGTTAAACAATTTCTTGTGCTTTAATATACAGGATGATTCTTTAAAGGTAGCGACCATAATATCGTAGTAGATTTTTTTTAAAGAAACGCAAAAACAGGTCGATTTTTATTTCGAGTGTGAACCTTTCTAGAGTATTCTCAACTGTCATATATCATTTCTCTCCTCACCGTTACTCTCAACAGTATAATTTTAATAAAGAAAGTAACAAGTATGACGCATCGAAATTGTAATTTTCTGGGGAATTCAGCAATATGAATGTTCATTGCGTTACTTTTCATTATAATGAGGGCGGGATAAAAAACTTACGTATTTTATAGTGTGACACTTCATTTGAAAGTTAATTTTATTAGTAATCCAATGCACCACAACATTATCTTAAATATTTCCATATTATACATAATTATACATATTTGTACATAATTATACACAATTATATATAATTGTACATAATTGTATATAATTGTACATCATCCTTCAATGCTTATTTGTAATTAAAATGAAAATTTTAATACATTTGATCGGCATAATAAAAGTTTTCGTTTAGATTTAATCATGTTTTCATGTTTAATAATCTTCGAAAATACTTTATTTCACTTTCTGTGAGACCTATACTGGAGTACCTTAGCGGATAGTGTATAATATTATTAAAGAAGATACAGTTATTGGAGAAGTCACACATCCGAAAATGCCCCCAGGAAGACCCAAGACCTTGACTGAAACTTGGGTAAAGAGTGTAAGACGACATCATTGCGTGGAGACATGCTTTTTTAAGGAAAATAGCAAGGAATCACCATAAACAGGTATTTTATTTATATGAAATATGGGTTAACGCGGAACATACAATAACAAAAATTTTACAAAATACCTCTATCAAAACTAAAAAACAAGCCTTTGTGGAAGGGATCTCTTGTGGATTAAAAAATCCAACAGGAAAAGCAAATCGTTTAATAATAACCCACATTGGAAGCACCAATGGATTTTTGCCAGATGGATTATTAATGTTCGAGTCAAAGAAACCTACTACCATGAAGAAATAAAAAAAAACCAGCCAACTCCGTTATTGTTTTGGATAATGCATCCGATCACAGTCGATTAAAGGAGTCATTACCAACAACATGATGGAAAAAAGAAGATATTTCAAAATGGCTTCATTCTAAAAATATCAGTCCTCCTAAATCCTTGAAGGCAGAATTACTCGCAATAGCAAGCCAACATAAAAACAAATTCAAACGACGAGATGGCCCGATAAAAAGGAATTGGAATTCTGATTACCTCCTTATCACGCAGAGTTAAATCCCATTGAACTGATCTGATCACAATTAAAAGGTTATGTTTCTAGAAACAATCCTTTTGTGCGAAATTCGTTTTTGAAAGCATAAATGGAGAACATTGTATAAAATGCATTGATCATGTTAAAAAGGTGGAATAGCAATGGAAAACTTAATAGACCCTATAACAATAAACCTCAGAAAAGACAATGATAATAATACTGGTAGTTATAGTGAAGACTGACTTTTAAGTGTTACTTTTAATGACAAGAGATTAAAAAAAGTTTAATCCCATTAACAACATATAATACTCCTGGTTATTTATTGGTTAAATTTAATTCGTTCACTGTTAAAGTGCAACAATTTTGTCAGAAGCATAAGGTTTATTTTTATTTTTTGTCAATAATATAACTTTTTTCATTTAAAATGTATTCTACGAAGTGCGTATATACTATTTTATATGCCATATACCATATTTATAGTGTAGAAACTTATTTTGCAAAGTACGCCTATGGAATGTGACGTGATATCCCCACTTTTACTGTACTCCTCTTTTACTCAGACTATAGTAATCGATTGTAAAAAACTCAAATACAATCAAAGGCATTCTAAAACATTAATAAATTACTCAGTTTTTTTTTTGCAATTTTATAAAAGAAAGGTGACGCGATATTTGTCTTAAAAATAATTGTTTTTATCTTTATATTGTTTATTCGGTCGGAAATTTCTTTCGATCTAGGCAGCGTTGCCAGATTTTAAAACAGTATTGGTAACAAAAAACCGTAGATCTGAACAGTAGATTTTAATACAGGGGGAAATAATTAAAATTTGCAGTGTAGTAAATAAAAAAACAAGTATATAAGAAACGAAAAATAAACTTTTTAGAAGGTAAACAAAGAATAAAAACAAATAATAACATTTTTAATATATGCTTAATGTACGGAAACAAAAAAAGAACAATGAAAAATAATAGGTACCTACTTCTTTTAGTTCTGTCTAAATCAGATAATTCAAAATCGTAGTGTGCATGTTCTTTTTATGATGCCCTATTAATTCTTTGTTTCATTTTAAATAAAAACAATTATTATCTTGATGTTTTTTTTATGGAGCCAACCTAGAGTAGTGGATGCTTATTACGCTGCTTTTACTGCAGAAAATTTACTAGAGAAAATATTCTTTAACCATTTGCTGAAGAATGAGGCAAACTTAATAAATTAAGAACAAAATTTGCTATAGACAAAAACAGTAGATCTACGTGAAAACAGTAGGTCTGGCAACGCTGATCGTTTCCTCGAATGGTTATCCTGTAACTGTCGCGCGACACTTCTCAAGCTTGCGAAATGCACCAAGCGTAACATTTATGCATCTGTCGTCCTACTCGACCTTGGGGTCGCATCAGTGGTCGCTTGTCTCTTGACGCGCCTACCCAAATGGTACCTTTAGTATTTTTAAGTCGATGCAACTGCTTGACTCTTAACTTGAAAACTTTACCTATTGATGCATGCGCAATAGTTTTAAAACGACGGAGAGCTGACATACTGTGTACTTGTTTGAGGGACGGTGTGGTGGGCAAACTTTCTCTCACTCTTATGTATTCTTAACCGTTAGCAACTCCTATTTGAGCTTACTTTACATTGGCAAACGCATTCCATCGTGTAGAGATAAAAATTAGCTTTAATTTGATATATAATTTATTAAGATACGTTATGAACCCATAAATTGAACGTAATTTTATCAATTTTTTAAGTTCTTACATATCTCTCTTTGAAATAAATTATATTTTATCTTCAAAACAAGTGAACAAAATTGTTTAAAATAAATTGCTTGAATGAATTTTAATTAAAAGTTTTTGTGGCCATATTTTGATATATTTCTCTATCAATAATTATAAAAATTGTATTTTGATTAAAAAACAGATGAGTGTGATAAATCATACCATCGAATCTTAATTAGATAAGGCCTAATGAAATAATTGAAAATTAATAAAATTTATGATTTCGTTAGGACCAATTTTTGTATTTTACACACTTTCATTTGTTGCAGTTGTTCCTCGATTTGGGATCCAGAAAAATGGGGCTTTGACCGTAAAGCGTCCGAAAATCCTGCCGAAAACGGACCCCGAACCGGTACGGAAGGCCCGTCCGACCAAAGGCGACGACCGGGCGATCCGAGGGTACGTTTGCGTAAAGAAAATGACGGCATCGTCTTGTCTCCGCAAAGGCGCAGCTTCAAATCCGGCTGTTTCGTATTGGTCAGAGGAGAGGCGCCCGCCCCCCGCAATAATCGCGCTCATAGCCCTCTCGGCGCCAAAAATGAAAATTCCCATATGGGTAAGTAAAGCATTCTATCTCTAAAAAAGATGACTTACGCCACTATTATTTACAAAGTAATGATTTTTTCCTGAACATTCAATCCAAATATGTATTCAGTCATTAAAAAAAAAATCCTGTTTCAACTTACATTTTGTAACATTCAAACTAAATTAGACGAAAATAAATATATTCTGGGAGTATTTTTGAGAAAATTAACAAGTAAATAATGTTATCAAAATTGAAACAAAATGGTATTGAGGTAGAGTATTTCATTGGTTTAGTAACTATTTGAATAAATATCGCAGAGAGTCCGGTTAGCTAACCAAACTTACTCTGATATGATATGGGGATACCACAAGGTAGTATATTGGATCCTCTTCTTTTTATTTTACACATAAATGATGTTGAACTTTTTACCTATCGAAAATGATGGAGAGTTTAATATATCTTGTAGGTGGGCACTAATCTTTCAATGAGAATAATGAAAAATGTTAAGAAAATAAGTCAAGTTTTCGGTAGGGATGTAGAGGTAAACCAACAAATTTTTGGTCTGTTTACAAGGTAACTAAAGCAACACTCGCTCTGAACATTAGACAGTGTCATAGCGCCGGTGGTTTTCTTTTGTCAAACATAGCAAAATATGCATTGAGAAAGTTGTCTTTTAAAATATGTACTGGTGCTTACGTTTATATAATGAATTTAAAAACGTATTTAAAATGAATTTAAGATGTATAATCTACTTTTATATCCCTCCGCAACTGATAGACATACTCCACCTACTTGCGCGGGCTAATAAGTGATGTCCTAAACGTTCGTTGGTTTACCTCTACCACTTGTAATGTTTATATGTTGGGTATACGCAGAAGAAAGACTAGGAACTTCCGTAACACAGTTTATTTGACAAGCTATACAAAAATTAAATTGACAACTTCAACATTCTAGTAAACTAGTAAATGCATAAAGGTAAGTAGTTAAGATGATAACTCTCATGAACTCTAACACCCCCTCTTAATGAGAGGTATCTAAAAGCCTAACTCCTAGTGATCCGACGTGAGTTTGAAAGCTTGGCTTGTAAAGGGGCTTTGTGAAAATATCAGCCACCATACTCTGTGTCGGGATATATTCAATTTCGATTTCTTTCTTGTCATATACTTCTCGTACATAATGGTGTCGGATGTCGATATGTTTGGTTCGTGAATGATGGACTTGGTTTTGTGTTAATTTTCTGGCTCCCTGATTGTCACAATAGACGATTGACGGACGATCTAAATATTTTGAAAAACCAACTTCTTTCAAAAAATTTCTTAAGAATACTACCTCTTTTGCTGCCTCCGATAGCGCCATATACTCTGATTCCGTACTGGATAGTGCTACTGATTTTTGTTTTCGAGCTTCCCATGTAACAGCAGCTCCACCTAAAAAGTACACAAAACCTGTGTACGATCTTCTATCGTTTGGATCTCCTCCCCAGTCGGCATCTACATAGCCATGCAGTGATGTGTGTGTGCTTTTGAAAATAAGTCCAAAATGTTCAGTTTTTCTTAAATATCTTAAAACACGTTTTACGGCTACCCAATGAATTGGACCTGGGTTGCAATTAAACTGGCTTAGGGCACTCACGGCATAGGATAAATCAGGTCGTGTAGAAACGGCTAAATACATCAGCGAACCAACTGCTTGACGGTAAGGGATATTTGCCATTTTTGCTGTCTCGGATTCGTTTGTAGGACCCATGTCCTTGGTCAATTTCAAATTTGCATCCATAGGAGTATCAGATGGCCTGCAGTTTTGCATGTTGAATTTTGTTAAAATATCTGAAATATACTTCTTTTGGGACATTGATATCCAATTAGAAGATTGTTTGAATTCAATTCCCAAACAATAATGTAGTAAACCCAAGTCTTTTATTTTAAATTTAGATGTTAGATTTTGTTTTAATTTATGGTAAGTTTCTTCTGTTTTTGTCGCTACAACTAAATCGTCGACATAGACGGCAAGAATAAGAAATGTGGAAGATTCTTTGGAGATATAGACACATTTGTCAGCGTTTATTGGTTTAAGACCAATAGACTGAAGGTACTGGTCTAATTTCTTGTACCACTGTCTTCCTGACTGTTTCAGTCCGTAAAGTGATCTTTTTAAGAGATACACCTTGTCTTTTTCTTCTTGCACAATAAAACCTTCAGCTTGTTCCATATAAATCTCTTCTTCGAGATCTCCATTAATATAGGCCATAACGACATCCATTTGGTACAAAATTAGGCCTAATTCAACGGATAAGGCAAGTAACAAGCGAATGGAACTTTGTCGAGTAACTGGTGATGTTGTCTCGTGGTAATCTACACCAGGTTGTTGAGTGTACCCTTTGGCAACAAGTCGTGCTTTTCTTCTTTCTACTTCACCATTAGCTGTATATTTTGTTCTTAAAACCCACCTGCATCCTACTATCTTCCTACTCTCTGGTCTCTCTACTAGGATCCACGCATTACATGAAAGTAGTGAATAGAATTCATCGTGCATTGCACGCTTCCAGTCTTCTGCGTGTTCTCCTTCTAGTGCTTCTTTCACTGTGGGGTTATCTGGATCGGAATTAACTAGCTGAGTTTCTTCAACTACTTCTACGATGTTGTATTTCTTTTTAGGTCTTCCTTTTGATCCATCTCTTATAATAGCTGGACGTCCTGGACCTCTTTTAAAAGATTTCGGTAGTGCATCTGTTTTTTCTTCAACTTCTTCTTCATCTGTTTGTGTTTCATCTGAAGGTTTTTTTGCAGTGGTTTGAATCAATATGTCTGGAGGAATATTATATGTCGTTAAATTTGGTGACTCGTCATTTTTAAATTCAAAAATTACATAATTCTCAGGGATGGTTGGTTCTTTTTCTGTAATTTTGATATTTCTGGGGTTTTCCAAAAATCTAACGTCTCGACTGGTTATGATTTTTCGTTTTTCTGGATCCCATAAACGATAAGCTTTTGATTCTAACGAATATCCGACAAAAATACAAGTTTTGGATCTACAGTCAAATTTTCCTTTACTTGGAGTTTTTATTAAGACAAAAGCTTGTGATCCAAAAATTTTTAAGTGTGAAATTTGTGGTTTAGTTCTATTCCAAAGTTCAAAAGGTGTTGTATTTTGCAAACTCTGCGATGGTGATCTATTTCTGATAAATGCAGCGGTCGCTATTGCTTCGGCCCAAAAAGTTTCTGGTAAGTTTGAATCTAGGAGCATACACCTGGCCATTTCGACTAAAGTGCGGTTCATTCGTTCCGCCACGCCGTTTTGTTGTGGTGTATATGCTGTAGAGTATTGTCTTTTTATGCCGGTTTGGTCTAAAAATCTTAAAAATTCTGCTCCAGTGTATTCTAACCCGTTATCTGTTCTCAGCACCTTGATTTTCTTATCAATTTTTCTTTCTACATACGCCTTGAACTTGAGAAAAGCATCTTTTACTTCATCTTTGGTTTTTAGAAAGTAAGTTTCTACCCATCTTGACTTGTCGTCAATGAACGTAGCAAAATACCTTGCCCCACCTAATGATTTTAACCTCATCGGTCCGCATAGGTCTGAATGTACAATTTCTAGCAAATTTTCAGCTCTAGAATCTGATTTGTGAAAACTAATTGCTGTCTGCTTGCCTCTAATACAAGTCTCACACGGAGGGAGGCTTTCTGAAAAGTTGAATGTCATTCCATGAACTAGGTCCTTTGACGCAAGCACTTTCAAATCTTTTTCATTGATATGTCCATATCGCTGATGCCAAATTTGTAGTTCTGACTTTGTATCTGCGACAGCTGAGGATTCTTCATGTTCATTTAGGTAATATAGTTGACCATTTCTACTAGCTCGCACTATAACTTCTCCACTTGGATTAATGATTTCTGCATGGTCTCTCAAAAAACGTGTTTGCCTACCATTTGCCGCAGCTTTTGATATTGAAATTAAATTAGTTTTTAACTCAGGAACATATAAAGTATTTTCTAGACTAATTTTCTTGGTTCCCAATGGGCCGCTGTCTATCAGTAATTTCACTGTCCCTTTTCCCAAAAAGTTAGTAGTATTATTGTCTGCAAGACGCACTTTTTGGTCATTTAATGGCTTAAAATTTACAAACTTTGCCAAGTCATTGCACATATGGGATGTTGCTCCACTATCTAGGCACCATTTATCTTGCCCTGTATTCCTCTGATTTGCTTGATAAGACGTTGCTACACTCGTTCTTTCTTGAATCTCAAAATTGCAGCCTTCAGTACTGATCATAAAAGCTTCTTCTGCCGTAGATGCATTATATTGTTGCTTGTCTTTTTCTCTTTTTCTGCACTGGGAACCTTTGTGACCTACTTTTTGGCAGTAGTTGCATTTATATGGAAATTTCCTCTTAAATTGATCATTTTTATTACTTTTAAAACTTTCAATGTTGTATTTGTTTGAACCTGTCTTCCAGTTTGTTTTGGCATAAAGAGCGTTCTGCGTTTGATCTTGGTCTCCGCAATACTCTTTTTCTTTTCGTGCATTGAATTCATCCAATAGTTTTACTTTTAAAACATCTGGTTTAGGAAGTTCATCTCTCGTTTCTATAGCGCAACGAAAATTTTCATAACTTGAAGGAATACTGTACAACATTAAAATGGTTAAAATATCATCTGCCACGTCGGTACCCATTTCTTTCAGTTTATCTACAATATTCGTAAAAGAATTAAGGTGATCTGCCATATCTTCGTCCTCCTTCATTTTTGAGAAAAGAAGTTTCTTTAATAATGTTGCTTTTCTGGCAGGACCCTTAGACTGATATACTTCTTGAAGCTTAATCCATATCTCATTCGATGTTTTGCAATATTTAATATGGCATAGTTCGGAGGGTTGAATAGCTAAAATTATATCTGCTCTAGCTTTCTGGTCTGTTTTCTTCCACTCTAGTGCTTGATTTGCATCGTCTGGCTTCTTCACTTCACCAATAACATGACTCCAATGGTCGTTCTTTATTAGGATAGCTTCTATCTGGATTTTCCAGGTATCAA